ATTCCTTTGCCCAATGCCATTCCTTTGCCCAATGCCATTCCTTTGCCCCATGCCATTCCTTTGCCCAATGCCATTCCTTTGCCCCATGCCATTCCTTTGCCCAATGCCATTCCTTTGCCCCATGCCATTCCTTTGCCCAATGCCATTCCTTTGCCCAATGCCATTCCTTTGCCCAATGCCATTCCTTTGCCCAATGCCATTCCTTTGCCCCATGCCATTCCTTTGCCCAATGCCATTCCTTTGCCCCGCGAATCCTAGCCGTCTAAATCAGTCGTAATCCATCTCAATCCCAATCCCCACTCCAACTTCATTCACCCCCCTTGGCAACCCAAACCCCCAACTTGCCCCAGTCTTGCGCCGCCCTCCTCCACATATCCCCATGCACTCCCTTCGAATCTCCTCACACTTTTGCGCCACAGCATCCTACGTACCTACCCTCCCCCCTCAACCCCAATGCACTCGCCCTAAACTCGCGCCCTCCTCCTCCCCCACGCCAGTACTCGTTCAATCTCGTCTTATCTCCTCACCCTTCCGCCCCACGGCACCCTGCAGCAGCCCTTACCCACCCCAAGAACCTTCCATTCGTGCCTCATGCCTACCTTCCCCACTCATCCTAGTCTTGTGCCTTCCTCCTCCACATCTGTGCTCGTAAACTCCCTTTTTACCTCTTCCGCCTTCCGTGCCAGCAGTCCTAACTACCCCAAGAACGATCTAGTCGTGCCTTATGCCTACCTTCCCCACTTACCCTAATCTCGCTCCCTCCTCCTCCACATCGGTGCTGGTATACTCCCTCCGAATCTCCTCCGCCTTCCGCGCCACAGCGCCCTGCAGCAGCCCCGCACCCCATACCTTGTGCATGCACAGAGTAACCACTTCCACTCACCCCAGTCGTCGGCCTTCCTCCTCCACATCTGTGCTCGTATCCTCCCTCCGGATCTCCTCTCCCTTCCGCTCCACAGCACCCTGCAGCAGTCCCACCAACTCCCCCGGGTGCAGTCTCGCACGTTCCAGGAAGCTTCCTGCGGCTGCCGGCAGCTCGCTCCAATCAATGGGCGCCAGGTCAGCGAAACCTCCCGGGAAGGAGAAAAGCAGGGCGGAATTGGCAGAAGCGGCAGGTGCTCGACCGCTCCTGCTCCCTGCTTCCCCTCCACCCCCTCCTGCTGCTGCTCCTGCTGCTCCTCCTCCTGCTCCTCCTTCCACTCCTCCAACTCCTCCTGTGCCACTCCTCCCACCAGCAGCAGCACCACCGCCACCATCACCAGCAGCAGCACCAGGAGCAGCAGCGGCAGCAGCAAAAGGGAGAGCAGAGTGAGTGCGACCTGTGTGCATGCCTGACTGCTGTGTACTCGTTTGGAGAGCAGCACCTGCAGGCGAGTGAATGGCAGCAGACAGCCGCGCCTGCAGAAACCTCTGGAGGACAGAAAGAGCCTCGTCGGTTTCAGCAGCGGTGGGGCAAGAAGTGTCTGCTACTGCTGGTGCTGCTCCTGTGGTTCCACTCCCCCTTGTTGCTGCTGCTGAGGAAGCGAGGGTAGGGGAGATGTGCGCCCTACATTCGTCCAGGCGGCAATTTCCAGCCTCCAGGTACGCTCGGAAGCCGTTGACTTGCAGCGAGTGCTGGTGAAGCACTGCTGCCCTAGCCCTGCAGGGGGTGTTACAGAGTTACAAGGTTACAGTATCAGCTGCAGAATCCATAATGTTTGATGTTGCGACGATGAAACACTCCTGGCGTTATCTCCGTGTTTTACGCTGCTTCATTCACTTCTCACCTTAAAACCCATGGCCCAAATTGTTCAAACGCACTGTGTAAGAACTCTGGGCGTGCTGTTTTACGAAACCCACGGGAAAATCGCGAGGGAGTTTTTCCTCGTGAACTGCAAAATGTTCGTGAACCGTCAGATTCGACCCCAAGATTTTGGACGGTTGAGATTGAGCCCCGAATTACTGGTGGTGCTTTGGAAAGAAGAGTTTGCGTGCAGACCGTCAGATGCAGATCTTTGAAAAATGGACGGTCGAAAAACGTGCTACACATGGAGTTCCAAATTGCAGCACGCAGTGAACTTGAAAGGCACCCCCAGAGTGGCGAGACTCACGTTACCCCACTCTACACCCACAAAAGCGCTACTCTCAAACGCAGTGCGTTTGAAGGCCGCGCCTCGCGATTTGGGCCGCGGGTTTTAAAGCAATAGCCTCCTCATCCGCTGTGGCCTGGGCCACGTGCCTTATCATGCACTAGTAGCCGCTCCCCACTGCAGCCGTTGCAGTCTTTTGAGACCTCACCTAAGACCCATAGCCTCCTCATCCATAGTCGACGTGGTGTGGGCCACGTGCCTTTGCATGCACCACAGCTGCTCCCACCGCAGGCGTTGCAGGCTTTTGAGACCTCACCTTGAAGCCATAGCCTCCACCACATACATCGTCGGGGCCTAGGCCACGTGCCTTGGCAGTCATCGCAGTCTTAAGAGCCGTTTCAGACCTCACCTTAGCGCTGAGGCTTCCTCGTCCAACCGCGTGGCCTGCATCCACAGCGACTCCACACAGTGCGCCGTGGCATGAACCCACCGATCCCTCGAGTGACACCACCGCCTGCTGCTCGCGCTGCAGCCTTACCCCGTTGTCTGTTGAGTCGACTCAAAAGGGCCTTGAGCCTCCACAAACCTCGCCTCAGAGCCAAATGCTCCTCTTCCATCCGCGTGGCCTGCGCCGCGTGGCTTGGGCTGACAGCGACTCCACATCATGTGCCTTGGCATGCACTGCACTGCCTTCGACTGCACTGCACTGATCAGGTTAAGCCGCCCGACAGCACACCTGAGAGCCGAAGCCTCCTCGTCCATCCGCGTGGCCGGCCTGGGCGGACAGCAACTCCACATCGCGTGCTTTCTCATGCACCGATCTGATCGCTCCAGCGACACCACCGCCTGCTGCTCCCGCCGCAGTCATTCAGGGGCTTGGAATTTCACGCCTCACCTTAGAGCCGAAGCCTCCTCGTCCATCCGCGTGGCCTCGGCAGAAAGCGACTCTACGTCGCGTGCTTTAGCATGCACCGATCGCTCCAGCGACACCACCGCCTGCTGCTCGCGCTGGAGCCGCTCCGCCGCCTGCGCCTTCCGCTCCCGCGCATCCCGCTCCGCCTCCTCCTCCGCCCGCTCCTTCTCCCTCTGCTCGCGGAGTTTCCGCTCCGCTACCTGCTCCGCGGTCTCCGCGGGTTGCATTTCCCCCGCTCGCGCATTTCCGCCATCAGTCGCGCGACCGGATCCGCTCCCCCTGGATGATCCGACCCCGCGCTGCGCCTGCGGGGGGACTGATCCGCGCGGATGCGCACCGCGGGAAGGCTGGGATGCGGCGGTGTAGGTCTGCCTGCGAATTCTCGGATCCGCCATGTATCTGGACGAGACTGATTCTTGATTGCAAAAAGTACGAGAAGAAAAAAAACCCGTTAACAGGAGTGCTGTTTACAACAGAAGAAATGACATGCTACAGTGGAAGAGGTCGATTTTGGCACGAAATATCCGCCGAGCAACAGCAGAAACGCCAGAATCCGAGCCTCAGCGCAAGCTTGGAAAAGAGTCTCTGAATTTTCTCCGCACTGAATATTTGGAGGGAAACGAAAAGTGACCTTGAAGTTGGTCTCTTCGGTGGAAAGGTCGAGGTGAAGGCAGAGGTGAGTGAGGAGGTGGAAGCAGAACGCGTGGCGAAACTAACGAGATTGCGAAACGCGGACGTTGTGGCGACTTGGCGATCTAACGAAACAGAAAGGAGACTCGCGTGAGGGAGTAACCAGAGCAAACCCTCACGTGGGAGCTTTTGAATGGTCGGACATTCTCGAGGGCCAATCCAGGGCCAAACTTTTGGCGGGAGTTCAGCTCCAGAAACCTTGAGCTTGTAACCACATCTAAGTCTTGTCAGATGGGATGGGACACTTACGAAACGAACAATAACGGCGCAGTGCGGTTCCTATTATTTGTTTGGACATTATTTGCTGCAAGCTAGCACGCGCAGAATTTCACCTGAGCATGCTGGCACGTAGCACCGCAGACAACGTGACGCCTTGCCTGACTCGACCTTGCGCGACGATCGATGCGCTTTCAAGCTAGACTCGTCCGTCTGCCGATCCGTCGAGCAATCGACCCGTCGTTCCTCCTCGCGCTGTCGCATACCTCTCCTGCGGCTATTCTGAGCATGTCCATCGTTCGACCTTCCATTCATCCCTCCATTCCCAGCATGTCGCTCTGTACACCTTCAACCCGACCGATACAATCACTTCCGCCACTACGTTCCGAACTCCCTGTACTGTCACCTTCGATTAGAGATGCCCTTGGCGAGCGTAGCACCGTTTTAGGAACCGCGGCACCGGCAAGGTTTCGAACCAGAGCTCGCGACGATGCTTGGCGAAGTATGGCGAGCGGGGTTACCAGCAACAGCATTTCCTCCTTTCGCTCTCCAGGCGTCTTTTCTCCTCTTACGACTCCCTTGGACCGCTGCCAGTTCTCGTCGCATCTAGCCGTTCATCCTCAGAATCGGGCGGTATCCAAGCTAAGGCCACGTGCAAGTGCCACGTGGCGTGCTTCTACTAATAGCCAGGCTGCTGCCGTTCGTAGCGCGCACTCTTCGGCGGAGGAACTTTCTGACGAAGCTTCCTCTGGGGACCCTAGACCCCTCTCCCCCTCCTCCGCACAAACCCTATCCCCTCCAACCCTAACACTTTCTGCACAGTCGTCCCACGACGACCGCTCACAGCAACCTCAGGAGGAATCTCAGCCGTTGGATCTGAACGATCCAAGGGTCCTGGCGTGCTGCGAGCCACTAAGTGCCAGTGGGAATTCTCAGCAGCAGCTGCAGCAGCGGCCGCTGCGGGTGGCGGTGCTGCTAAGCGGCGGTGTGGATAGCAGCGTGGCGCTTAGGCTGCTGCACGCGGCGGGGCATGAGTGCGAGGCGTTCTACTTAAAAATCTGGTTTCAGGAGGACTTTGAAAACTTCTGGTCGCAATGCCCCTGGGAGGATGACCTGGCCATGGCTCAGGCTGTCTGTGACGAGGTAAGCTTCCCTCTCCCTCCCCCTTGTACACTCTGGAACTCCCCCCACCCCCCCCCCCCCCGCCCCCACACGCACACACACCCACACACACCCACACAGGGATCTGGTTTCAGGAGGACTTTGAGAACTTCTGGTCTCAATGCCCCTGGGTCGATGACTTAGCCTTGGCTCATGCGGTCTGTGCCGACCGAGGCATGGCTCGCTTCCTCCCTCTCCCTATCCCATACATACACATGCACGCACGCACGCGCGCGCGCACACACACACACACGCACGCACGCATGCACGCACACAGACACAGACACACACACACACACAGACACGCACACACACACACACACAGACACACACACACACACACACACACACACACACTGTGGAGTCAATGTGTTTTGTCTGTGTGTGTCCCGTGTGTGTGTGTCCCTCTCCTCCCTTTCAGATCAGCGTGCCTCTGCGCATAGTGCACCTGACAGACGCCTACTGGCAGCGCGTGGTGTCGCACTGTGTGGCTGAGATTCGCAATGGCCGCACGCCCAACCCCGACATGCTCTGCAACTCGCGCATCAAGTTTGGTACATTCATTGGCAGCGCACCTTGTCATCCCATTATGATGTCATCTTATGATGTCATCTTATGGTGTCATTCTGAACCCGTGCCATGCCATGCCATCGCACGCCCAACCCCGACATGCTCTGCAACTCGCGCATAAAGTTTGGTACATCCGTATTCTATTCCTCACCCATCTTTCTATTCCGTTGATGCAACGTTTGGAATGCCTTCTTGTTTGATACTGATCGTTATTCTTTGTATGTGCGCCTCTGTAAAGAATCCTGGTTGATGTAATGCAATGCACTCTGTATCCTGGTTGATTGTACCCTTTCCCTCCCAAGCGGTCCGTGTATTAATGGGCAAGCATGGTACAACCCGAGCGGTTCATTGTACCCTTTCCCTCCCTCCCTCCGCCCTGGATTTCTGAATGCTTGCGCGTTGTGCCTATCCAGGAGCCTTCTACGATTACATCGACTTTGCTCACTTTAACCGCGTGGCATCCGGCCATCACGCCCCTTGCATCCTTACCCCCGCACTCCTCTTTTCTCAACCCTCTCGGCCTCTCAGGAGCCTTCTACGATCACATTGACTTGTCTCACTTTGACCGCGTGGCATCCGGCCATTACGCCCGCGTCATCCGCCCACTGGCCGACCATTCCCAGGACATTCAAGGCACTTCTTCAGCTGTGCAACTGGTGCTGTCAGCAGACGAGGTCAGCCAGTTAATAACCCTCCTTCGTGTGGGTGATAATGTGTCAGTTTTGAGTCATCTCAAAACTGCTGTGCAGGTGGCGCTGTCAGCAGACGAGGTAAGCCAGTCAGTGACCCGCATTCGTGTGCGTGCGCGTACACACACTCCTTTCAGTTTATAATCGCACGAACATAGGCGTTAGTGCGGAGATGACCCCCAAATCGACACATGGTTTATTTGGATTGTAAACACGCACCTTTGGATCCCCAAATTGCCCCAGGCATACTTCCTCTCCTCTCGCACCTATCTCAGCAGCAGCTGTTTCGAGTCATGTTTCCCCTGGGTTCCCTCACCAAGGTGTCTGCCTGTTTGTGCCTCGTGTCCTCCCTTGTTCCCTCCTGCCTCCCCGCTCAAGCAGGTGAAGGATCAGACCTACTTCCTCTCGCACCTATCTCAGCAGCAGCTGTTTCGAGTCATGTTTCCCCTGGGTTCCCTCACCAAGGTGTCTGCCTGTTTGTGCCTCGTGTCCTCCCTTGTTCCCTCCTGCCTCCCCGCTCAAGCAGGTGAAGGATCAGACCTACTTCCTCTCGCACCTATCTCAGCAGCAGCTGTTTCGAGTCATGTTTCCCCTGGGTTCCCTCACCAAGGTGTCTGCCTGTTTGTGCCTCGTGTCCTCCCTTGTTCCCTCCTGCCTCCCCGCTCAAGCAGGTGAAGGATCAGACCTACTTCCTCTCGCACCTATCTCAGCAGCAGCTGTTTCGAGTCATGTTTCCCCTGGGTTCCCTCACCAAGGTGTCTGCCTGTTTGTGCCTCGTGTCCTCCCTTGTTCCCTCCTGCCTCCCCGCTCAAGCAGGTGAAGGATCAGACCTACTTCCTCTCGCACCTATCTCAGCAGCAGCTGTTTCGAGTCATGTTTCCCCTGGGTTCCCTCACCAAGGTGTCTGCCTGTTTGTGCCTCGTGTCCTCCCTTGTTCCCTCCTGCCTCCCCGCTCAAGCAGGTGAAGGATCAGACCTACTTCCTCTCGCACCTATCTCAGCAGCAGCTGTTTCGAGTCATGTTTCCCCTGGGTTCCCTCACCAAGGTGTCTGCCTGTTTGTGCCTCGTGTCCTCCCTTGTTCCCTCCTGCCTCCCCGCTCAAGCAGGTGAAGGATCAGACCTACTTCCTCTCGCACCTATCTCAGCAGCAGCTGTTTCGAGTCATGTTTCCCCTGGGTTCCCTCACCAAGGTGTCTGCCTGTTTGTGCCTCGTGTCCTCCCTTGTTCCCTCCTGCCTCCCCGCTCAAGCAGGTGAAGGATCAGACCTACTTCCTCTCGCACCTATCTCAGCAGCAGCTGTTTCGAGTCATGTTTCCCCTGGGTTCCCTCACCAAGGTGTCTGCCTGTTTGTGCCTCGTGTCCTCCCTTGTTCCCTCCTGCCTCCCCGCTCAAGCAGGTGAAGGATCAGACCTACTTCCTCTCGCACCTATCTCAGCAGCAGCTGTTTCGAGTCATGTTTCCCCTGGGTTCCCTCACCAAGGTGTCTGCCTGTTTGTGCCTCGTGTCCTCCCTTGTTCCCTCCTGCCTCCCCGCTCAAGCAGGTGAAGGATCAGACCTACTTCCTCTCGCACCTATCTCAGCAGCAGCTGTCTCGAGTCATGTTTCCCCTTGGGGCCCTCACTAAGGTATATTCGCCTCTTGTTGGGGAAAGTTACAAGCCAATACAACAAGTTACCAGTCCCTTCTTCCCCGTCCCATGCTCGCTCCCATGCCCCCTCCCATGCCCCGTCCCATGCCCCGTCCCATGCCCCGTCCCATGCCCCGTCCCGTGCCCGATTCTATTCATTGTAATTTGTACTGCAGCTCTGAACATAATCCCTGAGTACAGAGCAACACTCGGGATGAAGCCTAGCAGTTACACAGCGAGACAGTGCAGGTAGTAAAATGACGACGGACATCTATGAAAAGGGTTCTTTGGCCCCCAACCCCGGAATTGCTTCTCCGTCCATCCATCCCTCCCCCACCTGCACGATATAGCTGCTGTTTGAGTACTTTTGAGTCGACTCAAAAGTCATCACGATATAGCTGCTGCTTGAGTACCTGTGCACAGTGCAACTACTTGAGTATCTTACAGCTTGAAGCTATAAGAGGCTTGAGGTGACTTGACAGTTCGTCCATCCACCCTTTCCAGCAACACCCCCCACGCCGCATGCCCTTTGCCCCATGCCAGCCCGTGAGCTGATGCCTGAGAAATCCTAGTAAAATGCTGACAGCTGGCAGCCGCATTGCTTGAATTGACCTAAGCGAACCCTTTTCTGCCTGCCCCATGCCACATGTCACCACCCCCCGCCATCCATGGTCCATCCCGCATCCTTGCGCAGTCCGAAGTGCGACAGCTGGCAGCTAGTTTCAACCTGCCCAACCAGAGCAGGAAGGATTCCCAGGGAATCTGTTTTCTGGGGAAGGTATGATTTGGAGGAGGTGTGATTTGGAGGAGGTATGGTTTGGAGGAGGTATGGTTTGCAGGAGGTATGTTTTGGACGAGGTATGGTTTGGAGGAGGTATGATATATTGACTGCTGGCAGCTGCTTTTGAACCTGCCCAGCCAGAGCAGAAGTCCTCTCAGGGGGTCAGCATTCAACATGCCGCCAGGTGAAGCCCCCTGAATTTGTTTCACGGCATGTGGGCGAGCAGGCAGGGCTGCTGGTGGAGGCGGATAGGAATGAAGTGGGATTTTTCCACCAGATCAGATGCTACCAGATCAGATGCTACCAGATCAGATGCCACCAGATCAGGTGCCACCAGATCCTTGAATAATCCTTGAACAGGTCAAGTTCCCTGAGTTCGTTGCCAGGCATGTGGGCGAGCAGGAGGGGCTGCTGATGGAGGGGGAGAGCGGGGAGGCGTCTTCTTGACGTGACAAGAATAACACCCAACCCCCCCTTAACTCCTGAAACTCCTGACACCAGGTCAAATTCCCTGAATTCGTTGCCAGGCACGTGGGCGAGCAGGAGGGGCTGCTGGTGGAGGCTGAGAGCGGGGTGGCCCTGGGCACGCACAGGGGCTTCTGGTTCTTCACCATCGGGCAGCGCCAGGGGATCAAGCTGTCTGGCGGGCCGTGGTAAGGGGGGGGGGGGGGGGGGTATTGGTGACCTATATACGCACAGAGACAGAGAAATGAAGTCAGGCGCTGGGCACGCACAGGGGCTTCTGGTTCTTCACCATCGGGCAGCGCCAGGGGATCAAGCTGTCTGGCGGGCCGTGGTAAGGGGGGGGGGGGGGGGGGTATTGGTGACCTATATACGCACAGAGACAGAGAAATGAAGTCAGGCGCTGGGCACGCACAGGGGCTTCTGGTTCTTCACCATCGGGCAGCGCCAGGGGATCAAGCTGTCTGGCGGGCCGTGGTGAGCACCAAGAGGGTTAGGAGGAAAAGGGGCATGCCCTATACACATATACACATACACGTCAGTGAGGTGCTGGGCACCCATAGAGCCTTCTGGTTCTTCACCATCAGGCAGCGCCAGGGGATCAAGCTGTCTGGCGGGATGTGGTGAGTACTAAGAGGGTTAGGAATACTGGCGTGCCCTAAACACGTATACATATACACATCAGTGAGGCCCTAGGCGCCCATAAAGGCTTCTGGCTCTTCACCATCGGGCAGCGGCAGGGGATCAAGCTGTCTGGGGGGGCGTGGTGAGTGAGGGGAGAGTAATGTGCAGTGGTCATATGCCCCAAGCATAGAGAGTGGTGAGCTGTCTATTTTTGAGGCGCCTCAAAAGCAGTCTGGGGGGCCGTGGTGAGTGAGGGGAGAGTAATGCCCAGTGGTCATACGCCCCAAGCATAGAGAGTGGTGAGCCGCTGCCTTGGCCGCCACTTTGTTCTGTTCGGGTTCGAGGCTGCTAAAGACACGGCCACCAACACCGCCTTTTTTGGAATTCTTTTTGAGGCGCCAAAAAAAGACACCGTTTAGAATTCTCAAAGCCACCTTGCCTTGGTTGCCCCCTCTTCGGGTTCGTGAGGAGTTTATTTTTGAGGCGCCTCAAAAATCAACTCACAGAGGGCACATGGGTGTGGCGTGGCGGGATGGTGCCCACGTTGTCCCAGGCGCACCTGTGTGAGGATTCTATTTTTTAGGCGCCTCAAAAATAGACTCCTCACGCATTCTCAAACCCACCCTGCCTTGGTTGCCCCCTCTTGGGGTTCGCGGTTGGCAAAGGACACAGCCACCAACACTGAATTTGTCTCGTGCAACTACCCCTCTTCTAACAAGTTCCATTTCTCACCCACTGATAACCCACTGCCATCCCTCCCTCCCCTCCTCCTCAGGTACATGGCGGCGAAGGACACAGCGACCAACACTGTGTTTGTCTCGCGCAACTACCACTCGCCAGCCACGCCTCATCTCGCAGCATTCGTTTGCCCACTATATTCCTTGCTGACTCTCCCCCCCGCCCCCCCTCCCTCCCCCTTCCAGGTATGTTGTAGCGAAGGACACAGCCACCAACACCGTGTTTGTCTCCCGCAACTACCACTCGCCGAACAAGTCTCGCCGGCAGTTCTGGGTGGGCGGGTTCAGCTGGACCGTTGGTGGGGAGTGCGATCCGCCCTTGAGTGAACGGCCCAACCTGACATGCAAGGTGAGAGCCAGCACGCTCAGAAAAGTGCAAAGCGCAAGCAAGGACCCACCGCTCAGCAGCAGCCTAAGTCTCGCCGGCCAGCAGCTTTGGGTGGGCGGGCTCAGCTGGACTGTAGTGAAGGTGCTCATCCACACACCTGCTCTCACATGGCCTCACACTTCCTTTCCCCACTCTCCCCCACTCTCCCCCACTCTCCCCCACTCTCCCCCACTCTCCACCACTCTCCCCCACTCTCCCCCGCTCTCCCCCACTCTCCCCCACTCTCCCCCCCTCCCCCACTCTCCCCCACTCTCCCCCACTCTCCCCCGCTCTCCCCGCTCTCCCCCTCTCCCCGCTCTCCCCCGCTCTCCCCCGCTCTCCCCCGCTCTCCCCCGCTCTCCCCCGCTCTCCCCCGCTCTCCCCCGCTCTCCCCCGCTCTCCCCCGCTCTCCCCCGCTCTCCCCCGCTCTCCCCCCTCCCCCCACTCTCCCCCACTCTCCCCCACTCTCCCCCACTCTCCCCCACTCTCCCCCACTCTCCCCCGCTCTCCCCCGCTCTCCCCCGCTCTCCCCCGCTCTCCCCCGCTCTCCCCCACTCTCCCCCACTCTCCCCCACTCTCCCCCGTGTTGTGTGATGTCATCATATGCCTCATCCCCACCCTCAACTCTCAGCAAGATCAATGGACACCTGAGTGGCTAAGGCAGCAGATTCTGCAGGAGGACTTCCGCAGACGCCATGTGGGAGGCGGTGCTGCCACTAAGACTGCTGAGGGGTATGGAGCTGCAGGGCGCAGCAGAGGAAGAGGGGGTTGGAAAGGCCGAGGCCGTGGGAGGAGCTTTGGCAGAGGTAGAGGCCGAGGTGACTATAATGAGGGGCATGGGAGCTCTAGTGGCAGGGGGAGTACCAGAATGGAGGGCACGTGCTGGTACTGCAAGAAGGTTGGGCATCCTTGGTTCAAGTGCTTCAGCAGGCTGGAGGGATGGGCACCTCCAGGCATGAAGCCGCCCAGTGGTGAACGCGCACAAGGTGGCGCTGTGCAAGGCTCAGGTGCACAAGGTGAAGGTGCACAAGGTAATGCCTATCCTGGTTTGTTTGTTATGGTTGAGGATGTGCATGGGCATGAGGGTGATGTGGGATCTGTGGGAAAGGTTGTGATGCACCCTCTCACGCACTGGGTGATTGATTCGGGTTGCACCAGTCACATGACTCCACGGGCAGATTTGCTTGATGAGGTAAAACCCCCTGGGAAGATTAAGTATGTGGCAGCAGCGTCAGGTGCTTTGCTCCCCGTGATTGGTGTTGGGAATGCCAAGGTTAAGGGAGCTAATGGGGAGCTTGTGGGGCTTGGGAATGTTCTGCTGGTTAAAGGCTTGTCTGCTAACCTTCTCTCTGTGCGGCGACTGCAGAAGAGTAAGGCCGAAGTGACCTTTGGACCAACCAGCTGCCGTGCTAAGCTTGGGAAGAAGGTGCTGTGGAGTCTGGAAGAGGAGACCAGCTGCATCAAGGACCTGTGGCAGCTGCCCATCATCCCATGGAATGGGAAGACTCCAACAGCAGCAACGGCAGCAGCGGCAAAGGCAACAGCAGGAGGAGATGCAACTGCACCAACTGATGGGGTCCTGGAAGCAGTCAAGAAAGTGCAGCAGCAGCAGACACATGGTGAGGTGCTTGCTGGTGTGGATGCGAGTGCGGCATGGGCTAAGGCTTCATCAAGGAGTGGAGAGGCCGATTGGGAGACATGGCATGAGAGGCTGTGTCATGTGAACTTCCCTATGCTGCAGAAGTTGGTGAAGGATGGGAGCCTGAAGGGCTTGGAGGTGAAAGGGGGAGTGAAGGAGATTGGGAGCTGCCCTACATGCTTGGAGACCAAGTTCTCCAAGTTCCCCTTCAACAGCACTACAGGACCAGCCAAGACCCCACTTGCACTTGTGCACATGGATGTGGTGGGGCCCACAAGAGCCCCTTCCCTCTCAGGCAGCCGCTATTTCTTGACAATTGTGGATGACCACACTCGGGCAGTGTGGGTTTACCCTTTGAAGAGCAAGGGGGAGGTGGCAGCGGCTGTCCTTAAGGAGTGGATGCCTAGAGCTCAGAGGGAATGCGGACACAAGGTGAAGGTGATCCGCAGTGACAATGGTGGGGAGTTCATTGGAGCTGATTTTGAGGGGGAGTTGAAGAGGAAGGGGATCCAGCATCAACTGACAGTGCCCTACAACCCGCAGCAGAATGGCGTGGCTGAGAGGTTCAACAGGACCCTGCAGGAGGGGGCACGCACTCTCCTTGGGCGTGCAGGGCTGCCTGATCCGTTTTGGGTGTCTGCACTGAGGCAGGTCGCCCTTGTGAAGAATAGGGTGCTGGCTACAGTTGGAGATAAGGAGTGGATCCCATATGCCAAGTGGTATGGGAGTGCTCCAGCGGTGAACATGCTGAGGGCATTTGGGTGCATGGTGGTGTTTCATGTGCCCAAGGAGAAAAGGGGGAAGTTGGAGGCTTCTGGAAGATGGGGTGTGCACTTGGGGATTGCAAAGGATCACAAGGGGTGGCTGCTATGGGACTTGACCACCCAGAAGTTGACAGTGTCAAGGGATGTGAAGTTTCTTGAGTCCCTGTACTACAAGGAATGGAAGCAGCAGCAACAGAAGCTTCCATCTACACCGCTCATTGTGGAGGCAGATGAGGTGCAGCACCCTTCAAGACAGGTGGAGGTTGCAGTGTCAGAGGAGGAGATGTCTGGGGTGACTGAGGAAGGGGGAGCAGCTGAAGTAGAGCAGCAGCAGCAGCAGCATGAGTCTCCACCTCGAGTTCCACACCCGCCTGAGCGTCCTAGGAGGGATGTGCGCCCTCCAGTGAGGCTGACCTATGGGGGAAGAGGCAAGCCAAATGTGGTGCAGGCTGGGAGTGTGGTTGAGCAGATTGAGGAAGATGAGATCGCTCACTGCTACTGGGCACCAATCCCTGAGCCCAAGACTCGAGAGGAGGCTTTGAATGGACCAAATGGGGAGAAGTGGAAGGCGAGTGAGGATGAGGAGTTCGGGTCCCTAATTGAGAACGAGACATGGGACCTGTGTGACTTGCCTCCTGGAAAGAAGGCAATCACTTCCAAGATGATCTACAGGCACAAGTATGGACCTGAAGGGGAGCTGACCCGCTACAAGTCTAGGCTTGTGGCAAGGGGGTTTCAGCAGACAAAAGGGAAGGACTATGATGAGGTGTTTGCTCCTGTGGGGAAAGGAACAACACTGAGGGTGCTGTTAGCGATAGCTGCACTCCTGGGATGGAAGATACGGCAGATGGACATTGTGACTGCTTTTCTGAATGGGATCATTATGGAGGAGGTGTACATGAAGCAGCCAGAGGGGCTGGATGACGGGAGCGGCAGGGTCTGCAGGCTGAAGAAGGCCATCTATGGCCTTAAGCAGGCGCCTCGTGCATGGTATCACAAGTTGGAGGAGGCGCTGTTGGCTGGGGGTTTCAAGAAGAGTGAGTGTGACCCCAGCCTGTTCCTGCTGCAGGAGAAGGATGAAATCCTCATGCTCTTGGTGTATGTGGATGATATCCTTCTCTTTTCTGCATCAACTGCTTTGCTGGACAGCGCAGAGCAGATGCTGGAGATGCAGTTCAAGTGCTCCAAGATGGGTGAGGTGAAGTACTACTTGGGGATGCACGTGGAGAGAGATGTGGAAAAGGGTGTGCTGAGGTTGCACCAGAGGAAGTACTGTGAGGGGCTGGCTGAGAAGTATGGGCTGCAAGATGGGGGAAAGCCAGCAACACCACTACCTTCAGGGTTTACTGTGGAGCCATGTGCTGATGAGGAGGTAGTGGGTGATAGTGACAGGAAGCTGTTTCATTCGATGGTTGGGTCGCTGAATTATGCTGCAAATCATACACGGCCTGACATTGCATTTGCTACATCACGATTGGCTAGTGTGGTCTCACGCCCTAGTCATGAGCAGCTGGAAGCGGCCAAGAGGTTGGTCCGCTATGTGAGCGCTACGGCATCAGTGGGATTGGAGTACAGTGGAGTGAGGCAGCGGTTGCAGAGAGGTGCTGCAGATGTGAAGAGTGGAGAGATGCTCTTGAGTTGCTATACTGACGCTAGCTTCAACTCAGTGAAAGCGGATGGCACCAGCATTGGGGGTTATGTGTGCTTGCTAGGAGGTGGTGCTGTGAGCTGGCGCAGCAAGAAGCAGAATGAGGTGGGATTGTCCTCATGTGAGACTGAGTACATGGCCTTACACCATGGGGCCAAGGAAGTAGTGTGGCTAAGGCGTTTGTTGGAGGAGTTGGGAGTTGGTCAGGAGAAGCCGACAGTTGTGTTTTGTGACAATGAGTCCGCTGTGAAGCTCGCCAAGAATGCTTGTCTGCATGGGCTGACAAAACACATAAGGCCTAAGTGGCATTGGGTGAGGAGACTCCTTGATAAGGAGGTGCGGCTGGAGATAGTGAAGACCCATCAGCAGGCAGCAGATATTTTCACCAAGCGTCTGGCGGAGGCGGATCATTGGAAGGGCATGAAGCTTGCTGGGATGAGTGTGCATTGAGTATGCATGCTTGAGATGTTGGTATGGTGGATGATGGTTGGCAGCCAGAGGGGGAGATTGTTGTGTGATGTCATCATATGCTATCACATTCTGTCTGCCTCCCATCCCATATTTTTTCAACTTGCATGTGTGGTTTGAACGTGTGCAAGAATTTGTGTGTGATGTGTTCTGGAGTTTGGGAATGTGTTTTGTGTTATTTTGTTTGAGCAGGTTTTTTGTGATGATAGATCTTGAGAAGATCTTTCCGACGCAACGAGAATCCCTTCAATCGGAGCAAGAACGCGAAAGCTATGAAGATTCAAAGTTCATGAGCTTGCGTTACAATTGCGGCGGTTACAAAGTGAAGTTGTGGGGTGACTCTATATGGAGTTGGGACCTTTGGGGGTTTGGGAAATTTGTCACTCACTGTAACAGCTGCAAATTGGTTGGGAACAACCAAGCTAGGTTGGCAAGGGTGGCCAACTTGGATGGATTGGTTGGGAAGGGACAAATGTCAAAGTTGGGGTTCCTATAGGGAGGGAATCTTTGTGCTTATGGGGTTTCCTTGGTTGGGGACTCTCTTGGGACCTTCCCTCTCATCCCTCTCTTCCTATCCCAACCTTTCTCTTGCTCCTTCTAATTCCTTGTGAGATTCTTGAACTTTGATTGAACTCTTGAGATTGAGTTAAGTTCTCCTCCTACAGCTTACCCCCTAGTGCGTCGAAAGCCATAGCGTCGCGAATACTTTATCAATCAACGTGATTCAAATTGGGAACGGTAGCTGAGATCAAGAGCTACAACATATCCAAGTTTCGCGACATTCCAACGGCTAGTTGTTTGTCGACGTCGTTTCTTGTGAAGACGACTTTTCTGTCCAGAATTTCGGATTTATATTTTGAGTAATTCTAGCTCCTAAGTTCACCTAGACTCTGTCCTTAATACTAACACCCCGCTCTCCCCCACTCTCCCCCACTCTCCCCCACTCTCCCCCGCTTTCCCCCGCTCTCCCCCACTCTCCCCCACTCTCCCCCACTCTCCCCCACTCTCCCCCACTCTCCCCCACTCTCCCCCACTCTCCCCCACTCTCCCCCGCTCTCCCCCGCTCTCCCCCGCTCTCCCCCGCTCTCCCCCGCTCTCCCCCACTCTCCCCCACTCTCCCCCACTCTCCCCCGCTCTCCCCCACTCTCCCCCACTCTCCCCCACTCTCCCCCACTCTCCCCCACTCTCCCCCACTCTCCTCCTCTCCCCCTCTCGCCCCCCACTCTCTCCCTCACTTCCCATAGGTGCATCACGGTCCCCATTCCTACGGTCGCTCCATGCAGTTTGTGTTTGCTTCAATGCATCTCCACTCGCATACTCGCTGACCTAACCAGTCCTCGCTTTTCCTCCTTCCCCCTGATTTTGCAGAGCGTTTTTTGAAATCCCCTCAAAAACACGCTGCAGTTTGTGCGCCAATGCATGCCCACTCGCATACACACCGACCACTCCATCCCCCTTCCTCCCTCTCTTCCCCCTCTTCTCTGCCTCTCTGCAGGTCCGCCACGGGCCCCATTTCTACTCCTGCTCCGTGCAGTTTGGTGATCCGCCAGCGTCCATGCGTCCAGATGCAATGAACCTTCTGCCAGCAGGCACTGACCGTCCGCCTCAGGAAGTCGATGGGGCAGGAAATTACTCGAAGCTCGATGCAGCACAACCAGCACGAAGCCCAGCAGTGCACGCAGGAAACTACTCGGAACCGGCAGCCGCCGAAGCAGCAGCAGCAGCAGCAGGAGGGTCAGCATTGGCAACGGCAGCAGTAGCTGGATCAGCAGGACAGCCAGCAGCAGCAGCGGGATCAGTGGCAGGGCCAGCAGGAGGGGAGCCAGCTGTGCTGGTGACTCTGTCCCGGGACGACCAGGGCCTGGCTGCCGGCCAGTTTGCCGCCTTCTATGATGGCGATGTGTGCCTTGGGTCGGGTGTAATCGTTGGCGTGCCGGCCGGTGACACCAGTGAGGACGGCAGGAACAGTGGCAGCGGCAGTACCAGTGGTGGCAGTAGCAGTGACGGCTGTAGCAGCAGCAACAGTGAGAGGGAACAAATGCAGGAGAAGGAGGGGGGGCCGGTGTCAGCAGCAGCGTGGGAGACAGCAAGGAGAGGGCTGGCCGGGGTGAAGGTTGCCAGATTGAAACCACCTAAGACTGTGGAGAAGGGGAGTGGGAAACTGGCGGAGGGGAGGGGGGATGAGTGGAGTGAGGTGGTGAATGGTGAGAAAAGGAAGAGGCGGAGAGAGCGAGCCAGTCGAGGAAGGCCTGAGCTGCAAGGGAAACAAGGCTCTCAAGAGCAGCCGAGTGGTGGTGATTGCCAACCAGCGGAAATGGTTATACCGTAGAACGAGATACTTGGATTGGTGCATAGTTGTCGTGTTAGCACTACATTACATATACTAGATTTTGTAACTTGCAAGCAACGAGCTTATGAGAATCCGGCTGCTGATTGTCAGCGATGTCGCCTACTGTATTCGGTTACTAATCAGAAGCGCCTCATACCGCGTATTTCTTGACCAGGAAAGGTCAGGCAGGCTTATCTGACCCATCCAGCCGCGTCGCGTCTGTCAAACTTACCGTTTGTCAGTCTGGCAGATCTTTCTTTGCTTCTTGCCTCGGTAATTCAAAGCCCTAGGAAACGCACGTAATTTACGACCTGACTTTCGAAGAACGGGGTCCCCGTCAGGGCTCTCGCTAATTACCCTGTGTGCCCTGGTCCCCCATGCATGCACTGGAAACTTAGGCTTAGGCCTTGTTGAAGGCCGTCGTCCGGTTTCCACGTGATCCGCTCTTTAGTCTCCGAGTCTTCCCGCGTTTCCATGTCAATCCAGCCGCGGCGTCAGCCGAATCTAAGCGAGCTCGCGACGTCAAGACTCAAAAAGCACGAGACGACTAGACCAATTGTAGACTGTGTTAGGCTTTTCAGGCAAAAACCAATTCAACTAAATAAACACGAGACGACTAGACCGATACTAATAGTCGCACTTACTTCTTCAACCGCCGGACTAATGAACTAACACCAAGAGACCTCTGGACTGCTACTGCCGGATCTGATATGATTGGATTTGATTCGCAAGATCCTCGGCCTGACAAAACGCGTGAGAATCTTGAGATTCCAAGCATCTTCGTTTTATCTTCCGCCGAGCTGTACTCATCTAGAACCCCTCGCTTGTCGTCCGCCGAGCTGTACTCTCAGTAGCCTTTTCGCTGGAGCCTTCTCGTACTGTACATCCTTTGAGCTTCAGCCGTTTTATAGGCGCCTCAAACGATGATTCTTGCGGCGCCTCAAGAACCTTCTCGTACTGAACTGTTTCATTCTTGAGTGTAATCAGTCTATTTTTTAGTCGGCTCAAAAACAGACTCATTACACACTGTACTGTACATCCTTGAGCTTCATCTGTATATAAAGAGTTTTTTGCGACGGCTTTAATGCTCGTTATATACTGCACAACCTTGTGCGGTAGGTTCTGCTTTCGAGGCGCCTCAAAAATAGTTATCAAGAACCCACCCCTCGTGGTTGGGGTCCTTCCGCTGGCGTGCAACTCGGTTCTCGTCTAGAAACGATTAACCAAGGTGGTACTTTAGCCGCGTCCAGTCCAGCAAGAGACAGCTTGAGCTGGTGCAGCTGTCGGTGTTTTTTCAATAAGCAGCCATGGGGTGCTGCATATCGCGTACAGCACGACTGGGGCCTGAATCTGCGACCAATAATGGAGCGACTAAAAACGGAGCTGCTAATACCGGAGCAGCGGTGCCGTCGCAACAGCAGGGCAAGGAGCAGCAGGCATTAGGAGCACTAGCGACGGCTGATGCAGCAGCCGCAGCAGCAGCCGCAGGAGCACCAGCAGTCCCACCAACACCAGCAGCAGCACCAGCAGGGCCACCAGCAGTAGCAGCAGCCACAGCAGCAGCACCTAGCGGACCCAGTAACACCGCCACTGTTTCGCCTTCGAATCCACCGCCTCTCCCCTTCTCCCTCCCCATGGTGCTTCTAGACGACCCCGTGGAGGAGGCTATAGCGCGTATGAAGGCAGAGGAACACACCCCCGACCCTGCCGCGCTGCTGCTGCAGCAGCCACAGCTAAGGGACGTTGCCCCGGGTATGGGGGGGTTGCTAGGGTTACCCTCCTTTAGGGTAAGAGCAGAGGAGTGGGCGGAAGGTGGGGGATTGGAAGAGAGGGGAGGAGAGGGGAGCGGGGGAGAGGGGAGAGCGAAAGGTGATTATGTCGCAGGTGAATATAACGAGGATGACAAGGTGATTGACTTGGAAGGGGTACTAGACGGGGGGGAGGGGGAGGAGGAGGAGGAGGGGGATGAGGAGGAGGGGGATGCGGAGGAGGGGGGGATCGATATGGATAATCTGCTAGCGGGGCTAGGGGAGGGGGATGATGGAGAGGAGGAGTTAGAAGGAGAAGAGGAGGGGCGAGAGGGAGGGGAAGAAGGGGGAGCAGGAGAGGTGGTGCTGGGCGAGGGGGAGGGGTGGGGCCAGGCGTTGGGAGGAGAGGGGGAAAGGGGAAGGAGGGAGGTGGAAAGAGCAGGGGAGGAGAGTGGAGAGGTGTTGGCGGAAATGGAAGGGGGCAGAACAAGGACAGCGCTAGGGGGAGGAGGAGCAGGAGCAGTAGACAGAGGAATAGGAGGGGAAGAGGGAGAAGCAGCGATAGTGGATAAATCTGAGGAACGGTTGGTCGTTGAGATTTCTCAAAAGCCAACTCAAGTGGAAGGGCAGTACTTGGAGCAGAGGAGCTTGTCAACGTGGAGCAATTCAACTCACCCCCATCCTGATCCTTCACGAGCTGACCAGGGTGATTTAGAAGAAAGGACAAGCTTGCAAAGAGATGCTCTGCAGTGTGACGAGGTGGAGTGTGACAGTAAGGAGAGTGATAGCGCCTTGGAGGGTGGTAAGGAGGATGGGCAACATGGGCAGGCGATGCACTTGGAGCATCCCTTGCAGCACTATAGTGAGGATGAGAGGGATAAGAGGCATGGCTACCATGAGGGCGATGATGATGATGGGGTGGATATGGAGGCGTTGGAGGAGCTGCTGCAGCTGTGTGTCGATGATGGCGATGGCGATGCTGATGCTGATGCTGATGGTGATGGTCGCAATGGTGGTGGTGCTGCTGGTGCTGGTGACAGCGGAGCAAGTCTTCGTGGGCAGGAGCAAGGGGAGGAGCGCAGGGACAGCAAGGGCGCACCGTTTGACGTGCCTCAAAACGAGCCTCTAACCGAGCATCCAAACGAGCCTTCAAACGAGCCTCCAAACGAGCCTCAGAATGAGCTGTGGAATGCACCTCTCAACGCACCGCTCAACATGCATAAGAGCGCGGCCTATGGGACACTGCAGAGAGATGAATCAGCGGGCCAAGACTCAGATGACTCGATACAAGCAGCCTCGCTAGCAGCGGAGCGGTCGTTAGCAGCGGTGGCGGGGATAGCAGCGGAGTGCTTGGAGAGCGAGCTGAGTCGATTTGAAGTGATCTGCCCGCCAGGGGGTGAGGATCTGGTGGTGGTGTATGTGACGTCGCTGGAGGCGGTTAGAAGAACGCACGCCGATTGTGTGAAGATGAGGGCTCTACTCAAGGTAAGAGTTGTTGTCTGGGGCCTTAAAACCCGACGGCAAAATAGCAGAGGGGGGTCTCTCTTGATAGTTGAGTGGGTACAAAAAAACTAAGTCCCGAAACCTGGCGAAAAAACGAAACGTCCCAGTGCCCCGAAATTTGTAACTCTCGGGAAACAAAAGAGGATTTCACAAATCCTATTGGTTGCCCAAGAGTACTAGCCAATGCAGGCTCGAGGCGAAAAAATATGGACAGCGTGGCGCGTCATGCAGCTCCCCTGCGACATTTGTCGCAGGCTTCTTGGGCCTCGGCTTCTGCAGGGGGGTTCAAGAGGGACCCCCCTCTGCTATTCCTGTTTTTCGTACGTTCCCTGGGCGAAAATCAAGTGGGGCCCCATTTGATGACCAAGTGGGGCCCGTTTTGACATGGCAAAATCGCGTGCCACGTCGTGCAGCCCACAACGCGCGACGCGAAACGAAATTCACACGGTACAGTGTCGCGTCAAATATGCCACCTGGGTTTGTTCTGAGTATCGAACAGTGCGGGCTGCTGCCCAGCCCCGAGTAAAAAAAGGCACCTCGACACACAAGGGGTGCTGATCAAGAGGGGTCCCAACTTGATAACCCCTCTGCTATTTTGCTGTCGGGTTTTAAGCACAGCCTCCATCCGCGATTCCAAGAGCGTGCCGTGGCGCTTCATATGTGAGTTTCCAGTCGACTCAAAAATCACTCAAGGTAAGAGTTGTTCTCTGGGGCCCTAATCACAGCCCCCATCCGGGATTCCAAGAGCGTGCCGTGGCGCTGCACCCAGCCTACCAGGACGAGCTGCTGCTCCTGTTCCACTGACATGCACCCTCCGTCACCCAATCCCCACCTTTTCCCCCTGCCTTCCCCCCCCCCCGTCCCACCCCCCCCACCAATCAGAGCCTCCATCTGCGATTTCAAGAGCGTGACGTGGCACTCCACCCAGCCTACCAGGACGAGCTATTGCTCCTATTCGCGGGGGACATGCCACGTGTCCCGCAGCTATTCGTGCGCGGGCGCCACGTGGGCGGCGCAGAGGACGTGCTACAGCTGTACGAGGAGGGGGCCCTGGACGCCCTGGTGGTCTGGCTCAAGGCTGCTGGGGGCGGCACGGCTGTAGCAGCCAGCGGGCGGCGGGGCTTGTCCGGTAGTGGTAGCTTGGCTTCTGCTGCTGCTACTGCTGGTAGCGGTGGTGGTGCTGCTGCTGCTGGTGTCTGTAGGAGTTGTTGGGATGTGAGGTTTGTCCTGTGTTACCATTGCCATGGGAGCAGGAAGGTAGCAACTGGAGGAGGTGTTACCAGTAGTGGTGGTGGGGGTCAGTTTGTCGAGTGTGATGTGTGTAACGAGAATGGACTAGTCATTTGCCCTATATGTAATGGCGAGGCTAGATGAGTGTAGCTTTGGTGCTATGTTCCTGTACAGGCCCATAGGACTATTTATATGCATCAGTGGCACATGTGTACTACATAAGCTAAAGCCGCAGAAATCTGGAATCTGGATCCTGGAGTAATAGCAACGGCCATCAGTGAGAACCGGTAGGTCGAAGGTCAACTTTACATCCTGTGTGCGGTACAAGCATGCCATAGCGTAGCAATATTTACAAAAATGCAGCCATGCCAAACTACTGATTGAGACGAGTTTGCTCGACTGGCCTACACCACACGCCTTGGCCTTGCGTCAGCAGTGTCTGTCTGTGGGCCTGCCTCTCCCCACCCACTCCTCATACGGCTTCCCAAGGTGCTACCAGCTAGCAGTTCTGCCTGCTCACATCACATCACACGCCTTGCTCCCATAGCTGCCTCGCCTGTGTATCTGCCTGTCTCTGCGTCTGTCTGCCTGTCCTGTCTGCTCGCTCAAATGCCTTGCTCCCGTAGCTGCCTCGCCTGTGTATCTGCCTGTCTCTGCGTCTGTCTGTGCGTCTGCTTCACCACCCACTCCTCAAACGGAGTGCCCAGATTCCACCAGCTGGCAGTCCTCTTGGACGCGTCCAGAACGCGAGGGCCCGGGGCATGCGCCCGGCCTAGGGCGCTGTGGTGAATGCCGTAGACGAGGTAGATGACGGCGCCTATGGCGAGCCATGAGGAGGAGTAGAGCCACGTGGTGGCGCTGGAGGGGGCAGAGAGAGCAGGGGATGGGAGGGGGGATACTTCAAGGTCTGGTCTGACTGCTCGTATGGCGAGCCAGGAGGAGGAGTAGAGCCACGTGGTGGAGCGGGTGCAGGGGAAGAGAGTGAGGCACTGGGGAATGAGAGGAGGGGGAGGACAGGTGAAGATCGGCCAGGGCACGAGCGCCATGGGAAGAGTGCGACATGATCCCAGCGCCAATCGAAAGCCATGGGAAGAGTTTTGAGTCGACTAAAAAATTACCTTCTGAGTCGACTCAAAAATCACCTTTTGAGTCGACTCAAGAATCACCTTTTGAGTCGACTCAAGAATCACCTTTTGAGTCGACTCAAGAATCACCTTTTGAGTCGACTCAAGAATCACCTTTTCAGTCGACTCAAGAATCACCTTTTGAGTCGACTCAAGAATCACCTTTTGAGTCGACTCAAGAATCACCTTTTCAGTCGACTCAAGAATCACCTTTTGAGTCGACTCAAGAGCCATGGGAAGAGTGGGACATGATCCCAGCGCCAAGCACAAGCCCTGGGACGAGGGTGGCAGATCAAGCCGGGCCAGGGGCATGGGAGCCATGGGAAGAGGGTGGCAGGTCAAGCCGGGCCAGGGGCATGGGAGCCATGGGAAGAGGGCGGCAGGTCAAGCCGGGCCAGGGGCATGGGAGCCATGGGAAGAGGGTGGCAGGTCAAGCCGGGCCAGGGGCATGGGAGCCATGGGAAGAGGGTGGCAGGTCAAGCCGGGCCAGGGGCATGGGAGCCATGGGAAGAGGGTGGCAGGTCAAGCCGGGCCAGGGGCATGGGAGCCATGGGAAGAGGGCGGCAGGTCAAGCCGGGCCAGGGGCATGGGAGCCATGGGAAGAGGGTGGCAGGTCAAGCCGGGCCAGGGGCATGGGAGCCATGGGAAGAGGGTGGCTCTGGTTGGCTCTTGTTGACTCTGTTTTACTTCCTTGACTGCCCACCTCAGGTTGGCCATGAGATGCACGTTGATGAGGATGCTGACGAGGGGAAGTCACAAGGGGCATCGAAGCACTGGCATTGACTCTGGTTGACTCTAGTTGACTCTGACTGACTCTGTTTGACTGCTCACCCCAGGTTCGCCATGAGATACACGTTGATGAGGATGCTGGCGAGGGGAAGCCACGGCACCAAGGGGCAGTGAAATCCTGATCGGAGGGAGGGCCAGGGCGAGGGGAGGAGGGAGGAAAGGACAGGAAAAGGCATTTAAGGAGCCGATACCAAGGGGCACAGATGGACAGTGGAGAGGTGGAACGATGGAAGAAAGGAGACGAATTCTCTAAGGACAAATACAAGGAGAGACAACTCTTGAGAGGGGGCACAGATGGACAGTGGAGAGGTGGAACGATGGAAGAAAGGAGACGAATTCTCTGCGAGGAAAGGAGAACTCACTGATAGCTCCACTGTCAAGCGCAAGGTAATTTAGCTACAAGCGAGAGAGATGAGGAAAGGCATACTCTGGGAATTCTCAAAATACGTGGAATTCTCAAAATACATGTACAAGAGACAGCTCTTGAGAGGCCGACGTGGTGTGGCTGACGATGCATCGTCACGACCTTGTGTTACCTCGCCTCCCAACACTCCCCAATATTTCTTGCCCTCGGCTGTTTTCTTATTAGTGTATTGCCAGTGAACCAGGTTGCATGTGTAATGAGTCTATTTATGAGTCGACTCAATAATATTCTTATAAGGGTATTGCCAGTGAACCAGGTTGCGGTTGTTCCTGTGTGCTCGCACTCACCTTTGTATTGCAACAACCGCAACCTCCATACACAGGTTGTTCCCTCGCTTCTCAGCCACAATGGCTAAGCGACAACCACTTGTGCTCTCACCGCCTGCTGATGCGACAACCACTTGTGCTCTCACCTACTGCTGACGGGACAAACACTTGTGCTCTCACCTCCTGCTGATCCAAACTGGTGCCTTCCTTCGTCCTCGTTGATAAATCCAAGAGTTGCCGCCCCACCGAGAAACAGTGCGCCGCCCAGAGCGAACAGGAGGAGAGGCAGCCAGCTGGATGGACGGGGAGGAAGTGAGAATGGGCGGGGATGGGGCATGGGAGGGGCTACGAGCAAAAAGGGGCTTTAGGGTGCAGGGATACCGCCTGAGGGAACAGTGGACAGCACAAGGGCCGGGTAGATGGAAGGGTAACAGGGTGACAACATGGAGGCACAAGGGACATTGGTGGGGCGGCATGGGTAACATGGAGGCACAAGGGACATTGGTGGGGCGGCATGGGTAACATGGAGGCACAAGGGACATTGGTGGGGCGGCATGGGTAACATGGAGGCACAAGGGACATTGGTGGGGCGGCATGGGTAACATGGAGGCACAAGGGACATTGGTGGGGCGGCATGGGTAACATGGAGGCACAAGGGACATTGGTGGGGCGGCATGGGTAACATGGAGGCACAAGGGACATTGGTGGGGCGGCATGGGTAACATGGGGGAAGCAGGCTCACTGTCCAACGGAAGCAGGCTCACTGTGTGCTTTTGAGTCGACTCAAAGGAAGCAGGCTCACTGTGTGGAGGAAAGCCCAGCAGAGGCAGCAGCAGCAGCGGCGGCAAGGAGTGGGGTTCCCAGGGAGACAGCAACAATGGCCCAAGAGGCCAGACGCCTGTGGGATGTAGCAGCTGTAGCGACAGTTGTAGCAGCCGTAGGGAAAGGGGGGGTTTACTCACTGTGTGGAGGAGAGCCCAGCAGAGGCAGCAGCGGCGGCAGCGGCAAGGAGTGGGGCGCCCAGGGAGACAGCAACGATGGCCCGAGAGGCCAGACGCCTGTGGGATGTAGCAGGAGCTGTAGCAGCTGTAGCAGGTATAGCAGCGGATGTAGCGGTGACTGTACACGGTGTGATTACAGTGAGGCCTGCTGCCTGATGGGCCAGGCCCTCACCACCAGTGCGTAGCCCATGGGTGGTGCTGCTGGTAGCGCTGGCATCACCCCTTGCAAAGCTTTGCCCAAGCCCAGTACAATGCTTCTGCTGCTGCTGCTGCTGCTGCTGCTGCTGTTGGGCTACCAGCAAGGCGGATTCCTCCTCTTGCCGACCCTCCTTGCCCTCCTCCCCCATCTCCTCTTCCCCTTCCTCTTCCTCCTCCCTCTCCTCCTCCCGCTCCTCCTCCTCCACCTCCTCCTCCCTCCCCTCTTCCCCCATCTCTTCAAGTAGACGAGCCAGTAGTGGTGCTTGGAACGAGTTGGGAGTGTGAGCGAGTGCGGAGTGCAGCTGGCCGTTGGATCGGATCTCAACGGCTGGAGATGTGCCCAGGCTGTCAGGGGACCCCAGATGCGCAAAGACGCTTGATTGGCCAATTGGGAGGGGGGAAGAGACTAAGATTCCCGCCCCTGCTGCTGCTGCTGCTGCAGTAGGGAGGGAGGAAGATATGTACTGAGGCTTGGAGGGTGGGGAGAAAGGGTAGGATGGGAAGGGACGGGAGGAGGAAGAAGAGGGGTAGTGGGGCTGGTTGTGGGAGGAGGAGGGGAGTGAGGAGGGATATGAGGAGGGATGTGAAGGGGGGTGTGAGGAGGGGAGAGGGGTGGGAGGGGAGGAGGGGGGAGTGTAGCGAAGGATGAGGACGGAGAGGCTGACAGTGGTGAAGGCGAGGAGAGTGCCCACGCTGACCTGATGCATTGATGGGGGATGCAAGGAGAAAGAAGGGTGGGAGGGGGGATAGGCAGGAGGGGGAGAGATGCACATCATTCACTCTCACCCACCATGCACACCATGCACACCATGCACACCATGCACACCATGCACACCATGCACACCATGCACACACTCGCCTTATACAAGCCCGCCATGCCCATGCACCCGATGCACATACCCACCATGCACAAGCACCCCATACACTCGAAGTCATCGCACCATCATCAGGGCTGCTGTTGACAGTGAGTACTGGCTAGCTGCCCTATATCCAGCACGAACGCCACGCCAGCAGCCAGTAGCCATAAACAGTGAAAATTCTGCATACAACCATGCCCTTCCCAATACTCCTACCTTCCAGGTACCCTCCATAACCCTTCCACTCACCATCCCCGACAGCTGTCCAACATCCAGCACAAACGCCATGCAGGCAGCCAACAGCCTTAAACAGTGCGCATACTTCTCACAACCACGCCCTTCCCAATGCTCCTACCTATATCAGCTACCCTCCACGACCCTCTGCGCTCTAACTCATCATCCCTGACAGTTCTCCTATGTCCAGCACAAACGCCATGCGGCCGGTACCTGACTGGCTTCAACTGCAATCTCTCACTCCCCCGAATGACTAGAACCTACAAATGCCCACCAAACTCAACGTCCCTGGCAGCTGCCCTATGTCCAGCACGAACGCCATGCCAGCAGCCAATAGCCCTAAAGAGTGCACATCTTCCACTCTCCCGCCCCCACACGCCCTTCCCAATGCTCCTACCTACCAGCTACCCACCACGTCCCTCTGCGTTCTAACTCACCATCCCTGACAGGTGCCCTATGTCCAGCACGAAAGCCATCGTGGCAGCCAATAGCCCTAAAGAGTGATCACCTTCCCCTCTCTCTCTCCCCCCATGCCCCCTCTCTCACTCCCCCCATGCCCCCTCTCTCTCTCCCCCCATGCCCCCCTACTATGGTTACGCACCATCCCTGACAGCTGCCCTATGTCCAGCACGAACGCCATGCCAGCAGCCAATAGCCCCGTGACAGCTGTCGCGTTCAGCGGCACCCCCGTCCCTTTGTCGATGCGGCCAAACCACCCCGGGAGTAGCCCGTCCCGGGCCATCACCATGAGAATGCGCGGCTGAGAGGTGTGTGGGGAGGGGGGGGGGAGGAGAGGGTTGGAGGACAGCTGTCGCGTTCAGAAGCTCGAGAGTTTCCCTTACCAATGCGGCCAAACCAACACGGGAGCAGCCCGTCCTGTGACATGCTTTTGAGGCGCCTAAAAAATCGCCCTGTGACATCACTGCGAGTGTAGGCCAGTGCAGCTGTGAGTAGGGAGGTGAGGGAAAGAGGGGGGGGGGGGAAATTGGGGGAACAGTTGCCACATGTAGCCGAACCGAGATGGGAGTAGGCCGCCTCATAATCACTCGCACAGGACGAATGAGTATGGGACAGGTCACTAGTGGCAGGAAGAGTTGAAGTCCACACAACAAAGGGCCCACGTGGTGCAAGGGGACACCTGCCAGGTGACGCACCTTACTGACACATGGTGTCGTCGGTAAGCTTACTTAGACAACAGGGGCACCTGCCAGCATGTGCTTAACGAGCATCAGCTATAATCGGTACCTGAGGCAGCAGTGACCCGAGCAGTGTGGTGGACAGAGCTGCCAGTGCCCCCCCCGTGACAAGGTACCTGCGATAAAAGCACACAAGATACAAGCACATGTGATATACACCCACACATGCAATGCAACACGAGCGAGCAATACAAAGCACACATCTGTGGCCGAACTATGCATGTAAGGCTCACGTGTAGCTCACTGGTACACTTGCAAGCAGGTTTAAGCACGCGATATGTTATGAGGTGACACACACAAACACTCTCACACACACACACACACACACACACACACACACACACACACACACGCACGCTCTCTCTCTCACTCACACTCACACACACACACTCCCCCACTCACTTGGCCCAGTGCAGGAGGTACGACTGGAACGCCTGTGCCATGGGGGTAGTATGACGCACTGCACCTCCCCCTCCTTCTCTTACTTCCCTCCCCTCCTCTCCCCCGACACCTCCTCCCTCACTCACTTGGCTTGGCCCAGTCTAGGTGGTACGTACGTCTGGAAGGCCTGGGCCATGGGGTGGTATGAGGAACGGCTATTGGGGGTGGGATGGGGTGGGCTCACTCACTCTCTCTCCCCCGACACCCCCCTTCCCCCGACACCCCCCTTCCCCCAACACCCCCCTTCCCCCGACACCCCCCTTCCCCCGACACCCCCCTTCCCCCGACACCCCCCTTCCCCCGACACCCCCCTTCCCCCGACACCCCCCTTCCCCCGACACCCCTCTCTCTCTCCACCCCTCTCGCTCCCCCGACACCCCCCTTCCCCCTCTCACTTGGCCCAGCCTAGGTGGTACGTCTGGAACGCCTGGGCCATGGGGGTGTCGGAGTCAATGCGGTCAAACGGAGTCAGCCCCACCAAAACCACTGCCAGCACCCCTTCCCCTCCATTCTCCCCCCCTCCCTCACTCACTTGGCCCAGTGCAGGTGGTATGTCTGGCAGGCCTGGGCCACGGGGGGCATGGTATAAGTCAGTGCCCCCCCCTCCCTCCATCTTCCTCTCCTCACCTCCTCCTCCCCAACACCCCCCCTCCCCCACTCACTTGGCCCAGTGCAGGTGGTACGTGTGGAACGCCTGCGCCATGGGGGTGTCGGGGTCAATGCGGTCAAACGGAGTCAACCCCACCAGCACCGCCGCCAGTACCATGTACAGCGCGCCACAGCATGTCAGCGACAGCCCGATCCCTAGAGGCAGGTCGCGCTGAGGGTGCTTCACCTGCCAGGGAAAAGGAGTGGAAGGAAGGGGGCGGAGGGGGGGGGTTGAAGAGGAGTGTTGCCAGCAGCATGTGCAGCGCACCACAGCATGTCAGCGATAGCTCTATGCTTAAAGGCAGGTCGCGCTGAGGGTGCTTCACCTGCCAGGGAGGAGGAAGAGAGGGTAGGATAGGATGAAAGACTTACCTGAGCTGATGTGCCTGTTTGTACTTATCCTGCATGCATGCCTAGCCTGTACCCAGGATTTCCCAGCAACAAAGGCCCGTTCGAGAGGGTAGGATAGGGGAGTAAATTCTTGCTAGCACCATCTACAGCGCGCCACAGCATGTCAGAGACATGTAAGCTCTAGGGGCAGCATCTAACCTTACTCATACGCACATATGTGCTTGCACGCACCACGACCAAGTTTGACCTAAGAGTAGGCGTTTTCTCTAACAGAAACAAGTACTCACTTTCGTTCCACCAGGACCATCAATCAAGTGCTTGCATGCGTTTCGAGTACTTCAGCAGCGTACCTCCTCAGCTGTACTCGCTACAGTGTCAAATCCGATATAAGAGAAGAAAGCCATGGCAGCTCCTCCCAGCAACCCAGACACGCCAAACGGCAGGTAGCTGAGGGGGATGGCAGGGCAGGGACGAGGAGGATGGCAGAGACGAGGAGGATGGAAGAGACGAGGAGGATGGAAGAGACGATTTTTGAGGCGCCTCAAAAAAAGCTGAGGGGGATGGCATGGCAGGGACGAGGAGGTTGGAAGAGGAGAGAGAGGCTTTAGTGTGTCCGAAGAGTTGTCCGAGGCTGAGGGGAGAGAAGGAGGAGCAGAGGGGACCCTCACAGGCTCGCCTGATAATCACTTCACCGATGGAGACGGTGAGGGGAGACAGAGGAGAGAGATGACAGAAGCAGAGGGGGGGAGGATGGGCTGGAGATAGGGAGAGAATGCCTGAGATGGAATGTGTTGCGTGACATTGTAACGAGGTGACTTATGAGTCGACTCAAAAATCACCGGAGATAGGGAGAGAAGGCTTGAGATGTAGGGGAAGGAAGGGTGGCGAGGAGGTAGGAGAGGAGAGGACAGACGTGGGTGGAGCGGCTGGAAAGAGAAACCAGAATAAAATAAAATCACGGGCAAATAAAGCGGAAGTGGGTAGGATGGTGCCGATTGCATTGGTTCACCTTCACAGGCTCGTCGTAACGGTAACCGCGTAAGAAAGGAAAATCACATCCATGCCCCAGCCACCGATGCATGAGGAGTCTATTTTTTAGGCGCCAAAACCAATGCAATCGGCATGGCACCAGGATGATGACCCGCCTAACAACTCGCTGTACGAGTGGAGTTATTTTTTATAATTCTCAAAAGCAACTCCCTGTACAGTACCCCGGCCATCCATTTTAAGGCTTTTAGACCACTGGTTTCGCCTCAAAAGTCACCTAAACAACATCGACCACCTAGTTCACAAGGAGTTACACCAATATCACGCCATAGTCACCCACCTTGGTGAGTCCTTGTACCCTGGCCACCCGTGGGTAAATCCTATCCATGCCCCCGCCACCGCCACAAACACCAGTATTATCACGTTCGCTACAGTCATCCCCAGCTGGAAATTGGCACTCTGCAAGGAGCAGGGGGGTATTGAAGTGAAGCGAAAAAGAGTGAGACAATAGATGATGACAACAGACAATGCTGCCTGCCATATAATCATATCACTGTAACAGCACATGTGGTGCTGGGTTGGGGTTGCAGTGTGGAATCTCGAATGCTTCAAGAGTGATGTGCAAGTGCAAGTGCGAGTGCAAGTGCGAGTGCAAGCGCAAGGCTGGAAGGTTTATAAGAATTCTCAAACACCGCCTGTGCTTCCAAGCTACATCATCACCACCATCCTCCTTTTAAGTCAACTAAAAACTCAAACGTCAACTCACGAGTCGACTCAGAAGTCAGCTCAACCACGCAACTCTTTGATCCCAGCGGACAGCAGTGCAGAGACCAGAGCCACCATGAGGGCAGCGCAGGGATCCAACACGATGGTGGTGCTGGGGATGGGCAGGCGTGCAAGGACGAAGGGTGTAATGTCGGTGTGCATCCCAACACCCACCTCCTTAATGCCAGCAGACAGCAGCGCAGTGACCAGCGCCACCATGAGGGCAGCGCAAGGATCCAGGACCATGGTGGTGCCTGGGATGGGCAGTCGAGCAAGGATGAAGGGCACGTTGTCCGCCCCTCCGAGCGCCGTTGCCTGGAATTGAGAGGGAGAAAGTGCGAGAGAGAAAGAATTAAGTGAAGCTGGAAGATTACAGGCGCCTAAAAAGGGCGAGCAAAGATGAAGGGCACGTTGTCCGCCGCTCCAAGCGCAGTCGCCTGGACGCCAGAGAGATGGTGGGATACAAGTGGCAGGCAGGCGTGCAGGAGGAGAGGTTGGAGTGAACAGGCGCCTCAAAGAGTTGGGCAGGCGCGCAAGGATGAAGGGCGCATTGTCCGGCCCTCCGAGCGCCGTCCCCTGAAAATGAGGCAGAGGAGAGGAGAGGAGAGGAGAGGAGAGGAGAGGAGAGGAGAGGAGAGGAGAGGAGAGGAGAGGAGAGGAGAGGAGAGGAGAGGAGGGTGAGGAGAGGAGAGGAGAGGAGGTGCACGCTTGAAGTTCATCGGCGCCTCCAAGTGACAGGCAGGCGAGATGAAGGGAACGTTGTCTGCCCCTCCGAGCGCCGTCGCCTGAACACGAGTAATGGGGAGGGACAGAGCACTCAGTCGGGAGCTCATAGATGCTAAACTCTGAGATAGGCTTGTGCAATGTTGAAAGCTGCGTTGTCTGCCTATCTGAGCGATGTTTGCGGGGGCACGCCTATCTCATTGTCCAAACACGGTCACATGGAAAGGAGAGAAAGAGAGGGTACTGGGTGGCGGCCATGGCCGCTCCACTGACAGAAGTGTTACAGCACTCACACCTGCACTCAAGAGTCACCCGGCACTGAAGAGCCAGAGGGAGAGAGGGAGGGAGGGAGGGAGGGAGGGAGGGAGGGAGGGAGGGAGGGAGGGAGGGAGGGAGGGAGGGAGGGAGGGAGTGTGCCATCTACAGTGCAAGCAATGCGTGCACCCCTGAATGCACAGACGCAAGTACCAGGTTGGGTGAGATGCCACGGGCCACCGCCGCTCCACCGACAGAATACTCCAGAATCAGCGCCCAGCCAATCAGCCACGCCACCCTGGTGATATCAGCAGGCAGGAGAAAAGGAAAGAAAAGAAAAGAAAAGAAGAAAGGAAAAGAAAAAGAAAAAACCCTTCTATTGTGTGATATGCTGCTCAGGCCACTGCCGATCCACAAATAAGGAAAATCACATATTGTGTGATATGCTGCTCTATTTTCGAAAATCAGAGGCCAGCCTCGCCATCCCCTCACCCTCCCAACAACCCCTCCAAACCCACTTTCCCCAGTCAAACTCACACTCCCCCCACGGACGCATAATGGTACGCATTCCTACCCGTCACACCTCCCCCAGGTAAAATCTCCCTCATTCCGACTCACACTTCCCCCACGGTGGTGTAAGCGTAGTGGTACCCAATCCCAGCAGAGGGGCATCGATTCGCTGACTCAGCGTAGCAGAGAACGCACCTACCCCAGTCATACCTCCCCCAGGTAAAACCTCCCCCAGTCACACTCACACTTCCCCGACGGTGGTGTAAGCATTGTGATACGCACTCCAAGCAGAGGGGCAGCGACTGGCGAGGAGAGCGTAGCAGAGAGCAGTGGGGCCAGCCGCTACCCCTGCTATGAGGAAGGAGAGTCATATAGGCCAGTGCAATTGCACCTTCCCAATTCCAATTTCCCCCAGTCCCACTGACACTTCCCCCACGGTGGTGTAAGTGTAGTGATACGAACTCCCAGCAAAGGGGCATCGACTGGCGAGCTCAGCGGAGCAAAGAGCAGCGAGGCCCACCGCTACCCCTGCTATGAGGAAGGAGAGTGGTGTGGGCCAGTGCACTTGCACCTTCACCTCCCTTCCCTTCCCGATTCTCATTTCCCCCAGTCCCACTCACACTTCCCCCACAGTCGTGTACGCGTAGTGGTACGCACTCCCAGCAGAGGGGCAGGCTGGCCAGCTCGGCATAACAGAGAGCAGCCAGGCCCGACGCTACCCCTGCTAGGAGGAAGGAGACCCAGGCAAGCATATGCACTCACACCTAACCCAGGTAGATCCTCCCCCAGTAATACTCACACTTCCCCCACAGTCGTGTACGCGTAGTGATACGCACTCCCAGCGGACGGGCAGCGGCTGGCCAGCTCGGCGTAGCAGAGAGCGGCGAGACCCGCCGCTACCCCTGCAATGAGGAAGGAGAGCGGCAGCGCTGGCCCTGCCTTCTCTCGGGCCACTGTGCCTATGAGCACGTAGACCCCCGCCCCTATGGTGGACCCCACTCCTGTGGTCGGTGAGTGGGGAGGGGATGGTGAGCGGGCATGAGCGGGCATGAGCGGGCATGAGCGGGCATGAGCGGGCATGAGCGGGCATGAGCGGGCATGAGAGCGAATGACGGCAAAACATTGAAAGGATGGGCTGTGGTCCGGTCTCTTCCCGTGCCACTGTGCCTGTGAGAACATAGACGCCCGCCCCTATGGTGGACCCCATTCCTCTTGTGCGTGCGAGAAGGGTTGGCATGACGTAAGCATGAGTGGGGTGCACCATAGGAGCCAGAGTCTAAGGGAAATCAGCAGCTGACGTAAGTATGAGGTCAGCTGAAACGGCTGGCTCTGGTCAGATGGTTTTGATCACAGAGCAAGGTGGTCTGGAGCGCGTACCTGAAGAAACAGTTTCTAGCACGTTTCTAACGAACCAGCTTCTAGCGCGTACCTAGCGGGATGAGCTGCCAGAAAGTGAGGCACTTGGGGAGCGGCGCCGCCATGAGGTTCTTATGCGACTGCGAGTGCTTCAATCGAAACATCCCGCCCCACGAATTATGCCGGGTAAATCCCCCTCGCCTATCCCTCCCTCCTCTCTCACCCCCTCCACCGCCTTCCCCGCTGGATTGCGGAATCCTGCTATATCCGGAATTTTGAAAGGGAGGAAACCGAGATCCCGCAATCTGGGGTTGCGATCCCCATCGGGGGAACGGATCATGCTGAGAGTGCGGAGGCGGCGCCAGGTCTCCGTGAAATCCGGTCGCGCCGCCAGCACCAGTTCGATCCGACGGCTGAGAATCCGCGAGGCGGGATCTATCAGGATGATCTAGAACGCCGCCGCGGCGATCCATGCCTGCTCTAGAGATCTTCTCCGTACGATCTTCTTCTTGTAAGGATTCAGGACGTCCTAGTCTTTTACGCGGATGCGCCTACTACTACTACCACACACCGACAGCCCAGCCAACCGCTGCTGCACTTGCTCTTTTCCCTTCGCTGGCGACGTTGAACTTGTCAAGGGATTTCGGTTCTAACTTCTAGTATGGATGGGAGCTTGTCATGGGATTTTGCCATGGGAGCTTGTTCTTCGGGATCCCATGGTTGACGGAACATGGCTTGTAAAAACTGCAAGTTCGGGATTAGAAAATGGGTTTTCTACGGTTTAGGGCGATGCATAACCATAACAGCAGGGTGCAGTGTGATGAAGGTTCAAATTTAGCATACAAGAACGAAATGTACCTCGCCCTACTCGAGAAAGGCCCAATGGGCCAAATGGGTCCACGTCATCCTTAGCTGGTTTCGTGATTGGCCAAATAGGCCCATGTCATCCTTTGACGTACTGATTGGTAAAATTTCAAATTAGCACCACGTCAGCATGTACGCAGTATGAGTGTTCCAGAATCAATATTGAGTTGAGCAATTACATCAAGGTGTGCACATGGCCCTAAAGGGGAGTGAAACCAAAACCACGTAGGTATTCCAACAAACATGGCCATAGTTTGTTGGGATGAATTGCAAAATGAAAAAAAAACCATAATCCTACGATGATATTTTTAAACAGCAATGCAATGGACGATTTTTTCATGGCCAAATCAGGTTTTGTTATGGACGACTTTTTTCATGTTTGTAAGTAAATAGATGCAGCAGCTTAGTGTTGTTGTGCTAAACGAAATGCAGGGACTTCAACCGACATCTCAAGCTGACAAATTTTGACCACTCACTGGATTGAGATCGGCTGGCGGTGAACTCTGATTGGACCTCGTAATCCTCCTCACCTCAGACAAGCGCAATGGTCAAAGCTCTTTTGGATGCCCTTTCCCCTTGAGGCATGTGCTTCTGGAAAACTCGAAGAATTTTCTGCAGCTCCAGTTGGCATTTCTAGGGGTAAAATTGGTTCAGCCCGCGCCATGCCCCACGGGCAGAACGGATGGTCCATCAACCGTACTCACAATGCACTGTTCTGTACCCGATTTTCTCTAAACGAAGCTCCATGGAAACTGGTTTCACTGATGATGGGAGGCCTGAAACCAAACAACAGAGAGGCATTGGCGCGCTCTCAAAATTCCAGGGAATTCCGCGATCTCCCTCTTTTTTCATCACCTCGGCGCGCTTACACAACCAAAACTCCCGCATCGTCCCCCCGGACCGACTCCCACGCGGACCCTCTCCCGCCTCAATTCTCCCGCCCCCTTGCCCCGAGCCCCTCGCACCATCTCCGCCACTCCCCTTTCCCTTGAATTCCATTCCCCTCCTCTTCCGCCCAACTACACCTCCCTCCCCTCCCCGCCATGCTCCCCCCATTCTCGTGGTCCCCCCTCCCCCTCCCCTGCCCTCCCCCACAGAAAGTCGCTCTGCTCTGGTCTGTTCTGCTTTGCTCTCGTCGCACCTGCTACATAAGCAGCCGCAAATTCTGTAATGAATCAACAGAGTCGAATTCCTTGTGCTGCTTTACTATTTCTCTTAGCTTCCTACCGAATTCGACTCAGCTCAGACAGAAACCATGGCCGCTCTCGCCAACGCTGCCGTGCTCCCCTCCACCTTCGTCGGCCAGAGCGCTGAGCTCGCCGCCAAGGTCAACAATGTCGAGGCCCGCGTCACCATGAGGAAGACCGCCCAGGCGGCTTCCAGCAGCGCGTGGTACGGCCCCGACCGCAACCTGTTCCTGGGCCCCTTCAGCTCCCCCCCGTCTTACCTCACCGGCGAGTACCCCGGCGACTACGGCTGGGACACCGCTGGTCTGTCCGCTGACCCCGAGACATTCGCCAAGAACCGTGAGCTGGAGGTAAGTTCAACCGAATTACCATTTCTACCCGGAGTCACATTCGAATCCGGTTGAATTTCCTTCGTCCGCACTACAGCGCATCACACGGTCCGTGCATCGCTCAAATGAACCGATGGCTTGAGAAGTTCGTCGTCGTGAATGGCACAACCAGAATGCACTCCTCCTGACCAGCGAATTCCCTTACTACTCTCAGGTGATCCACGCGCGGTGGGCCATGCTCGGCGCGCTCGGCTGCCTCACCCCCGAGCTTCTCGCCGGCAACGGCGTGAACTTCGGCGAGGCCGTGTGGTTCAAGGCCGGCGCTCAGATTTTCTCGGAGGGTGGCCTCGACTACCTCGGCAACCCCAGCCTGATCCACGCCCAGTCCATCCTCGCCATCTGGGCGTGCCAGGTCATCCTCATGGGCGCCGTCGAGAGCTACCGCGTTGGTGGCCTGGAGGGCTTCCAAGAGGTGGAGGACCCCCTGTACCCCGGCGGTGCCTTCGACCCCCTGGGTCTTGCTGACGACCCCGATGCTCTGGCTGAGCTGAAGGTGAAGGAGCTGAAGAACGGCCGCCTCGCCATGGTGTCGATGTTCGGCTTCTTCGTCCAGGCCATCATCACCGGCAAGGGTCCCCTGGAGAACCTGTCTGAGCATCTGGCTGAGCCCACCGTGAACAACGCCTGGGTGTACGCCGAGATCTTTACCCCATGAAGCAGATCTTAGCCACCTCGTAAAAGATCCTGTAATTATTCATTATACATAATTTTGATCCTGTTTTTCGTACAAAAAATGCAGGCATTGTCAAAGCAGGAAAACTTGCCTGCATTTTCTGGCTCAGAAATCCGCACTTCCATCACTGCATTTGTCCAGGGACACCTCCTCAAAATAACCTTCAAAGCACTGTTCAAATTAAGTCATTGCCTGTAATGCAAGTAAAGTCTGATCTATTTGTACACTTGCTACCAATATCAACATTTGAATGCTTGCGAGGTAGTCAAATTGGGGAAGCAAGGCGCGATTGAATATTGGCGTACTAACCTATCGTCCACTGCAATAATTATCTAAAAGAATATCAAACTACCAGTCGACGTACTATGCAGAGCACAACAAAATGATTTAATACAAGGCTCTATCACTATGTGTGATCTACGATCTCACTTGCTTATGTCTACAGCAGTTGTGCCTCCAATTTGACATTCGCGCCGCATTTCCTCCCATCCGTAGTTACTCGCGGGAGAGGGTGCTGAAGCACAAACCGAGACAACAACTGCAAGATGGTTACGAGATTTGACGGTATTTTTAAACCTGGAACATGCATAGCTGTTAAGCAGCCGCTGATTTAAGTGGGAGGAAGCAGAAACCGAACATGTTTTATAGTCATCTTCATTTTGCAAGAATCATTGCTGATGGATTCAGAACTTGTGAAACCACCATCACTGACACACCACATCCGTTCGACAACAATGAGAGCGATGGGAAGATGCTTACATATTAAAATCAAAATGTACAGAGCTTTTTTTTTTAATGGAAAATCAAGACGCTTAAGCGCCGGGGGTGAAGTTGGTGGCATAGGCCCACGCGTTGTTCACGGTGGGGTCAGCCAGGTGGTCGGACAGGTTCTCCAGGGGACCCTTGCCGGTGACGATGGCCTGGACGAAGAAGCCGAACATCGAAACCATGGCGAGGCGGCCGTTCTTCAGCTCCTTCACCTTCAGCTCAGCCAAAGCATCGGGGTCGTCAGCCAGACCCAGGGGGTCGAAGGCACCGCCGGGGTACAGGGGGTCCTCCACCTCTTGGAAGCCCTCCAGGCCACCAACGCGGTAGCTCTCGACGGCACCCATGAGGATGACCTGGCACGCCCAGATGGCGAGGATGGACTGCGCGTGGATCAGGCTGGGGTTGCCGAGGTAGTCGAGGCCGCCCTCGGAGAAGATCTGAGCGCCGGCCTTGAACCACACGGCCTCGCCGAAGTTCACGCCGTTGCCCGCGAGAAGCTCGGGGGTGAGGCAGCCGAGCGCGCCGAGAAGAGCCCAGCGAGCGTGGATGACCTAATGGTTGGAGAAGCAACACCAGAAATGGATGACTTCATGACAACATTACGCAAAAAATGGATGATTTCCTGAAGGAATGCACATTACTACGAAGGGAATGTGATGGGATGAGACAGTAAAATTTTTCATCAGGCTTACCTCAAGCTCGCGGTTCTTGGCGAATGTCTCGGGGTCAGCGGACAGACCAGCCGTGTCCCAGCCGTAGTCGCCAGCGTACTCGCCGGTGAGGTACGACGGGGGGGAGGAGTACGGGCCCAGGAAAAGGCTGCGGTCGGGGCCATAGAACTGGCTGCTGGAAGCCGCCTTGGCGGTCTTCCTCATTGTGACGCGGGCCTCGACATTGTTCACCTTGGCGGCGAGCTCAGCGCTCTGGCCGACGAAGGTGGAGGGGAGCACAGCAGCGTTAGCGAGAGCAGCCATCGTAACGATTAGAAAATGCCCGGAGTATAGCTGCAGCTGTTTGAATAATATTCCTGGAACTAGGTCCTTAGTTTGCTTCGCTGGTGATTTGAAGCTGCATTTCAACCTGAAGAGAGAGGCCAGGGAGAAAAGCGCTAGGCGGTATGGAATTCTTGGGTGTGGGTCCAGGCGCGTTCTGATTGGATGCTGATGGATTTGCGAACCGCGTGCTCACAAAGTTTCGGATGATGCTTCGAAATCTGGCGGCGATGCCATCTTGGAAATCCACGCAATCA